CGAGTATTTTTTCATTTTATCATTAATAAAGTTTATATAAAGTGCTGTTATAAGCCGAAAGCTTGTGTAAACTATATTAATTCGGCTTATTGCGAAATTTGATAAAACGAAAATCTCGATAAGCCGAATAAGTTGTCCCTTCCCGCGACCTTCGGCTTATCGAGTTTCACTTGTATTATAGCTAATTCATAAGACATAGGCGTTAGCATAAATAGCCCTATGACTGGATCATTAGCTAGTGGAACGATAGAATTATGCAACCTCCGCTAGCTAATATCATCTTCCGCATAGTTAGGATCATAGCTCTTCGGATCTTAACACTCCATCAATATCTTGTATTTTATTCATTATTATTTCTTGTTATAATAAATCGTTATTTCAGTCTGGATCAAAGTATTATTTCCTGGCCATTGCTATTGACTGCGACGTGCAAACCGCAGATCAGTAGCGTTGACTGATCTTGTCCATCAAATCACGGAATTGGCGAAATACGATTGTTAATTATTTATTCACGCACACGTGTGTTTGAGTTAGTATAATTTATCCTACAGGCTGTCGAATCTAATCCCACTAATAGAAGTAGAGGCAGAGTAATTAAAACAATCGCGAATCTGCGTATACGATATCGATCGTGAGTATTGAAAGCCTAGTATTATTATACCGGACAAAAATCGCTGTGCCAAGGTATAAACAGAGTTGACTGTATAAATGATATCGATATGATTTGAATATCCAACTTCATTGTTCTGCCATAATGGATTTGAGTAATCAGTAATAGCCCGGTAATGAATATGAATGCACAAGTTATTTATTAAGATAGTTATATATTGGGAATTGCAGCAAAAAAGTAAAACATTAATGCAGAATTTCTTGCTGGACGAGTTTTCTACATATTATTAATGGAAGCTTCAAGTAGAGGGCAGTTCGATTGTTAGAATCCTCTGCTGCACCATGACAATACGTGCGTTACATCGTCCTCCATCAGTCATGACACTCCCGGAGCGAGATCAGTTACTCTCATGCCACACCACCGATATGGCTTGTCGATTTTCCCTTCCTCAAGGTCGAGCTCAATGGAAGAAATTTGATATTATAGAAAACCAGCATGAGCCATTCAGTCAGTTCTTGATAACATACCAAACGAAGAATATCCTAAAGAGTTTGAGAGTTGGCTGAGGCGGCTGAAACTTGTATTGTTGTTCAGGAGAATACCTTTGAAAAGGCTAATTCAAGGTATCGTATAATCACTTCTTATAGTGACCGAAATAGAGTCAAGTATAAGAACTTTTCAGCCGCCCTACGTACCCTCCACCCTGTCGTCGACCTTTCTGACTGGGTCGACGTCCACCAGATTGGAAACTAACTTTGAACCCGCTACTCGTAAGAGATTGCTCAAGCTCTTCACGTTGGTTTTTCTCCTCACGTTCTTCGTAGTTCAGCACTATTTGCTTAAGCTGTAGTTGTTCTACTCGTTCGGCTTCTTGTTTAGTACGAGTGTTTACTGCCAGAGCACTATTAGCGGGAACTTCCATTGTTTTGAGCTGAAGAAATAGATCAATTGAGACAGTCAAAGCTTAATATATTGATCATTTAGTGAGCGAAGTACACGAGGAGGTCAAACATATTCATACCTGCTGTTTGTTACCCTTTTTAGTGAGCAAAGTAAATGCAACGCTGCTATCTGTATCAAGCGTCTTATCGTTGCCACGCTTTAAATGCATCGGAATAGCCACATCCAACATTGCGGGTTTACGCTCGTATTTGCGCGATTCTATACTTTCCGTCATCATTTTACTAAATTCTCTTTCAAACTCTTCCTCGTCCGAGACTGATTGGTTAGGACGATTGGTATGTACAACAACTTCTTCTTCTTCTTCCCCCTCCGCTGTTACTTCACTTACGGACTGCAACCGATGTATGAGTGTGAGTATGTATCAACAGTGAGAAAAGTATGTCAACATACAAATAAACGCGTGATGTTATTGGATAATACCTCTGTGTCTGAACCCTCATCTTCTATTACGTCCCTCTCCAGTTCATCCTCCTGAACGTCTTCATCATCATCCTCTTCCGATTCTGAGGAAGCCTCGCTATCTTCAGCATTATCCTCTTGACTCTTGGTCGCGTCTTCAGTAGATTGCAATACTTTTTGGTTTTGTAGGAGCTTAATATCAACCTGTTCAGCTGCTTCTTCATAAGTTTTGCACATTGTCATATTGGGACGTAACATCTACAATATCGAGAATTAATGAAGGATATAAACAAGAGTTATCGTGCTTACATCCTTGCATGTTCCTATACATACCTCTAGGGTATCAGTAAACATAAAGTCAATATCCTTGGGCAATTTTTCCTTAGCTAAGATATACATCTACGTGCAGTACAGTTTAGATAGTATAATAAGTCATTGCACCTAGTTTGTTTGCCTGATTTAATCGTCCACGCGTGAGTAACTTACCTGAAAGAACATAAGAAAGTCATCAAGACGTTCCTTTGACGTTCCTCGGTCAAAGCACATCCCACAGGTATCGAGTAGAGTGCAGCACAGACGAACGCGAAAATAGTCGTTTGGGGCATCTAAAGCACTTGGTCTGTACGGAGATGGCCTACCAAACTCTAATATGAGAAACCGACTACGTGTGAGTTCTCTATGGAACAAAGTTGCCAAAGCCTACTTTTTAATCCTTTGAAAAATTCTCACCGTGTCCAAGGGTAACAATAGTATAAAGCGTATCGAAAATTACAGGTGAATCTATCATACGATAATTATACAGTTCGCCAAGATATTTCACCTGAGCAATCCGACGTTGGTTATACTTGAATATATTTTGCTATAACGCAAACAGTGAACGAAAAATTGTAAGCCGTATTTTAAGTAAAACATAGCAGTGTAACTTACATCTGCTTACCTCAAGTCCAATTCTAATATCCTCCAATATATGATCAACTAGTGCAACACCAAAATCAGAATGATACCTATGTAGTCCAGCCGCGAGAATTGCCATTAAGTGAATATTACTGTATTTGATCTTCCAGATCTTGGAAAAGCATTTCTCAATTATTCGATAGACCTAAGATAGAATACCGTTAGTTTGGGATGGCATATACCCAATTTGTAATTTATATTATAGATCAGTTACCTCTTTATCGTCCCAATGAAGCTTGCGTAAAAGTTTCAAAACCTTCTCTACAGTCTTTTTGTTAAGATCAGTGTATACAAGTTTACGAATGTACTGCTCCATGATAGAACGATCTTTCTTAACAACTGCTGCTCGATCCGGAGGATTGCACTTTTGAGAAAGAATATAATGAGCACATTTATTGAACATTTGCAAATAGGCAAAGTTATGCCTTTACCTGATAGTAGGCGTTTTCCACCATCAGAATGTGTCTATTATCCATGTGTTGCACATTCTTCTTACGCATCATTATGTCCAGCTACAACAAGTAGGAATAATTTAATAAGCAAAATCAATAACGCTCATATTCGCTTCGTCAATTTCAACATTCATTTCAATAGAATTGCTATCTCCATTTTTACAAGTGCATTAATTTCCTTTTATAAATTACACTAATATAGACTTACCATATTACTCATTCTGACATTAGTTTCCGGGCTTTTGTACAAAAATCTTCCACATGTCTCCAATAGATTACAGGCGATATCAATATTTTGATTTGAAAAATCGTCTAGGACAACTTTGAGACAATGGAAGATGACATGTTGAGGGGTAATGCGGAATTTTGTCAGCTCTGCAAGGTACCTGATATTCTATAAAATATATCAATATATAAACGATCAACTGAACGTATTATCAGACGACAAAAATCAGCATCTAGTTACTTTAATTTTGGTTTCCAGAAGATCTTGACTTTTCTTCTTTTGAAGATGCTTAAATTCGTTTTCAAGCTGTAATATAGAACATAAAAATTATTCGCAAGGTATTACAACATCCATCCCTCTACACCACAGCTTAGAAATTACCGCTTGTAGAACGGAGCTCCCGACATCAGGGAAATGCGGGTTTAGTGTCGCAATCAATCGGGCATAGTAAGGCAAAAGGTCAAGACGATTACGAGGAACGCCAGCCAATGTCTAAAGATTATAGTTTCATCAGTATACTATCAATTCAATTGTTCTTTGACCCTTCATCCAGGCGTTAACTCCCAATACCTTAATCAACTTCTTTCTGGCAGCCTTGGTATTCAAGAAACAAAAATCTGCCGCCGCCTGATCGATAAGATCTCTATTAACCATATTTGGCAGACGAGACAACAGGGAACCCAACTTTGCCGACGTAGCACTCTTCCCGGCTGCTTCTGGATCTTTCTTTAAATTCGACTCGTCAGTCCCAATGGTGGTATCTTCTTGATCATCTTTAAAATCATCATCTGCGGAGTGCTTCTCGGATGCGTCTTCATTTTCATCATTCGCAACAACTATCCGATCCATCATCTCGGTCATCGCGTCCTGGATGGACTTTGTTTTGGAATCGGTGAGAGTAATATCATCTGTAGACTCATCTTTTACATCATCCGCTTTGTCGTCTTTGTCGATCCCCGGTGATGTGTCAGATTTCGTTTCATCAGCGTCAGATTTTATGCTCGTATTTCCGTCTAGAAGAAGGCCTGGAACTTTAGTTCGAAGATCAACTAGATTTTCGTAAAAGCTTTTTGCGTCTTCGTCTTCCCAAATACTGCTAGAAAAGCTATCCTATTGTACAGCGGAAGCTCGTTAGTACCGGTATATTATATCGAACATTAACATTCCCTTGTGTTCAACAATATCACTCCATTACTCGACAATATTGTAACAACATACTTCCTTATCTTTGGAGGAACTCCCCTCCTTCACAACAGACCCTCCCAATTTTGTAGTCCCCTCATCTTCTGGTAAATCTGGCATTTCGAGATCCAAAGAATCTGCTAATCTGTTCAAAGGTCAATAAGCAATGAAGCAGTCAGTCTTATGCGTTGATCCTTGTCAACAGAGCACTTAACAACGTAGAAAAGACGTAAGGAGGAAAGACTTGTGATCAACAAACGCAAGAGATGCTTGTGCACAAGTGTGTGGGCTGACTCACATTTGAGCATTACGTTTGAATTTTTCGAACGTATCGCAGACCTTTTCGTATGTTTGCTTGGTTTCCTCGGGTATCTCTCCCCGACTTATGTAAAAGTCGTGATTTCGAATTTCCAATTGTTTAATTTTCTAATGTACACCCACACCAGCAAAGTATTGTTTACAATTTGTAAATTAGCCTATTGACAGAGAAGGAATCTTCATATTCCCCGACAAAGGTACTGATCCTAACCTCGTGGTCTCTAACCAGATGCTTTTCAACGCCCTTAAAGTATTCTGTCAATAAATTTCTAAACATTGCTTGCTGTTCTTTAGTAACAAATCCTTCAAATATTTTTTGTGCTTCATCTTCTGCATCCGCAACAACTTCACTTCCGCCATTAGTGGGTGAAGTTGCAGATTCTTCGCTGGAGCCAAGTTTTTGTTTCCTGGATACAGTACCAAGCATTTCTGAACCGAAATTTTTGACAAAAAAAACTGCTAATGGGAGGTTCAAGTGCTTGGTATCGTGTGCAAACTGTGGGGTTGACAGTCATGGAAAGAGTAAGGTTCAAACATTAATGCGAGAACGCAAAGTTCGCAACAAAAAAAAAGCAAAGCGGATAACGTAATTGTATCGTATATGCCACAGCTGCCGAAATTAATTTATCAACCACCAAAAAAACAGACCCTACATCTGTTATATTCCTTAAGCCCACAATCGTTTGATTTCAAGCCGCTACTCACCATCTCTTTCAAAACGCCATATACGAATCCTTCCCCTTCCTTCTTGCTGTCCTTACTCTCCCCGCTTCTCGGCTCTTTAACAGCATTCCCACCAGCAAACCCAGTGACATTATCTTTGACCCCATTCACGCTCGCAGATCCAACGACCACATTATTAGCATTGCCAAGGGCAATACCGTCTTCTACATTTCGTAACACGCCCAACAGCCATAATTCACCGGCAATACGGAGCAAGACGCGTTGTTTGGCAATACGGACAGATTCTTCCTTTTCGCGTTGTTCAGGCGTGAGAGCAGAAAGCTGTTTGAGGCTCGGCGGGGATAAGGAGCGGAAGAGTGTGTGACTTAGGTAAGGAGTAAAAGTATCCGGAAAGCGCTGATGGAGCGCGGAAATTACCTTTGAATTTGTGATAGATGAGGAGTAAGGGTGACTAAAAGGATTGTGGGAGTAAAGACAGAATAGCAACGCAAAAAAGGTGTCGATGTATAATTATTTCTATACTTTTACGTACTTCAACGGCAGCCCAAACATCGCTTGCGGATTTATTCTTCTGCACACCGTCAATCACAGCACCAACCACTTCGGATATATATTTTGCCAAAGTCAATGTCCTGATGTCCTTCAGTAGCTGCTGCTGATATTCAGCTGACAATTGCGTTTTGACTTTTTTAATGAACCCTATGTTCTTCTTTATATTCGAATCGAAATTTTTTGATGCTGCGGAATCTATAAATTTTGAACAGAAAGAACTGGTGAGCTAGTACTGGCGAAAAGTACAGTAAAGATGGGATTTGGTGAAAGATAAGACAAAGCAAGAGTTTGAGCGAAAAAAAAACAAACTGAGTGACAGAATTTTAAGATGGAACGAAAGTTTAAGCGATGTCTTTAGTATTCCGATTGAGCTATTAGAACTCCAGCGTGCCAATTAACGCTGGCACAAATCTCAATAGTAAAGAGTACCTGGTTTGTCATTCCGCCAAGCAGCGAGGTTAGTTTCTCTCAACTCACGACGTTCTAGTCGTGCTTGTTGAGGCTCTGCAGGTTCGTTATCCATGGTGAAAGATACGTAAGCTTGTCACGACATTTTTGAATTCACTGATCGACACATTGAGAGGTTGTAACTGATTTTGGATAGATACAGTCATGTGATGCGTTTGAGACATGCATGACAATTATTGCTGACAGCACCGCAAGAATCCAACGGACTTCTGAACTTATTATTATTTGAAGTCATTATATTCTCAGTTTCAGAGTCAAATAATACCATTGTAACAGTGTTTTCTCTCCTAGCTCTTCCATTTTGAATTATTCTCATCATTCTGGTAGCATTGATACTAAACCAGTGGTCCCTATTCCTACAAAGACATCCACACATCAGAATTCTTCACATGCTATGCAATATCCTTCATTGCTCTTTATCCAGATAAGTAAATGAGCTTTATTTGTGAATAAAAAATATATATGCTTTCTGACTCTTCATATTCTTGCAGATGCAATATCAATGGTGGATTATGATACATATTACAGTATAATTTTGTGGCAAGAATGTTGGGTCATACTTTGCAATAACATGTGTAACAGAGATATGGGGCAGACTGCAACAAAACCAGACAAAGTGAACATTCTATAAATGAGGGACTGCTTTGTGATTGTGATGTGGTTGTAAAATTGACCAGTTGACTGATGATGTTTTGAAAAGTAATAATGGTGTTCATTCATAACTTATGGACTTGTTAATTTTAATTTTCACTTTATCATACCAGAATGTGATGAATATAAACCATAACAGGGTTAATATATATTTGAGAAGGCTTTGAATGTGTTCCAGAGTATTGGACTCACAAATTCTGCAGTAAATTGTTTTTTTCAAGTTCACTGGATTTTAGAATATTAAACGGTGCTTTAAAAGCATCCAGGCTAGAAAAAATTATTACCGTGAGGTTATGACATTTTCCATAGGATGGCAATGGGTCACAAATGTACATACTATGGCCCAAGAATATCATATATTGCATCTTTTAATACAACCAGACCTTGCTTTTCATTTTTTCCCTCTGGGAGAGAACCAGCTGATGCCAGGCAGACAACAGCAGCAATCTCATGACCAGCTCGCCTTGATTTCCCCCATTAACAATACCTCCACTCTGAAAGGCCCTGTCCAATTCTGTCAGAATATCATATTCAGCACCATCCTCTGAGAGAAGTTCCATCGCTGCTTCAGATAGCACAGGTTCAGATGGATATTTGATCAGGTGCCTCCTGTGCTCTTCATCAATGGCAATCAGCATTGCCATGTGTGACTTGATGAGATATGATGCCTCACTTGAGACTGGGGAAACATATAGAGAGGCAATTGAGGCAATAATAGCAAGAGAGGCTGTCTCAATTGATTATCAGCAGTCTTTTTGAATTCAACCCATTCATTGACACTACTGCCAAGCAGTTTAAACTGTGCCAAAGACCCTATTACTATGTCCTTGAACTTCGTCTCATCACTTTGTTCTAAACTCTCCCAGTATGATCCCCATAGTGGCCAGCCAAAATGAACAATGTCATGTCCTGACAGCACTTTTTCCTGAGGTATTTTTTCAGATTCCCTGCATATTAAGAATGGTAAGTGTCACCCTGTCATCATTTCAACTGAGACAAAAACACATGATGGATGAAGCAACAGACCTGAAACAATCCATTGTTGCAATGTAAATAAAAGGTTGATGAACTTTGTGGTTATAATCTCGTGCCTAATGGTTGAATATGAAGTTGTCATGCATCAAAGGCAAATAAAGATTCAATGTACATCATATTTACAGATGGATCATGCTCTTTCCATGGTGCTAGGTTGGAAACTGCAGAGTTGGTGTCTGTGAGGATGCCAAATGCATCATCATGCAATTCCAAGAGTGCTCAATGGATTGCCCTGAATGCTGCTTTGCATTCTTCAGCTCTGGTCCCCAAATTTAAAGCTATGTCAATGTTTAAGTCAGAAAAAAACATCAGTAAGGCAATGCAATACAAATTAAAATTTCGATCACACAAATGTGAACAAAGTGCAGTATACATTTGTCAAGGAGAGCGGATGCTTCATCAAAGAAGATGATAATTCTCAGGCATTCATGCAGTTTGCCATAACCAGTACCAATATCTCCCTCAATGTCTCTCTGAGAATCTTTGGTCTTTATGGCAACAGTCTGCTCCTCAGAAACCGTATTCCAGAATTTGGTTGCCAGATCCTGATCTGTCAGCAGATCTGCAGAATCCAGTTGCATGGCACAAAACGTTCGGATCATGGATCGTAGCCAGCCCGTGTGCATTGTCAATGGAATCCGCTCTATTACTATTTATGTCAGCCAACATGACTTTGCTCTGAGGTGTGGCGGCAGGGTATCCACTGGAGTCGTCCTTTCGAAAGCATACATATATTAGAGGACGCCAATGTGTGAGCTGAAGGATGGATCTTGTTTTGCCGTAGCTGGAAGCTTGGATGATGGTCACGTAGTTAAAGTAAGTCGTTGTATTGGCGTTGCTGGCCATTTGATTTAATCGACGGTCCAGCTCCTTCACATAGTCATCGGGGCCTCTGAAGTCGACAGTGAAGGCCTTGCTCCATGTTGATGCTGATGATAATAAATAAATCAACGTTTATGCTGTGACAAACACAAACATATCCCCAATATAAATAAACGCGCTTGATTGCCTGCTTACCATGTTGTTTGTAATATGTTGCAGCGCTTGAATTATCTACTAAAAAAATGCATTAATTGCAAAAAAGTTATTTAGTTAGTCACAAATAGTTTGCCAACATTCCTTAAAGGCGGACAAGCGAAATACGACAAGAAGACCAAACATATAGAATGCATGTGACAACAGCATTCGAACTATTCTCCCTCCATTGCTCCTGCTCTACTTAACCCAAACGTATCGTATCTTGCTTATTTGCCTTCAAACGAGTTTACATGTAACCAAACCTTTGTTACGACTCTGCTCTATGTCCCAGCCCCAACGCATGCCGTAATGCATTCCAACTATCCTCCCAATAAACGTGTATTCATTGCTTACTTACCTTGATGTTCTTTGAGGTACTCTTCATAGATTTTTTCGTCAGTAGCATCGGGATGTTGTCTAAGATATTTCGCAGCAAATCTCGCCTGTGGGTCCATGTTGTCAAGTTATGAGAAAAAGAAAAGAACGTGTAGCTGCGCGTTTATATTCTACGGGCATATCACGTTGTGGAACAATTGCAAGCATCAAATCAGATTGTCCGATTGTTGCCCGGGTTGATGCACGTGAACGACTCGGCTTATGTAGTACATTGTAGATAGATAAAACCAGCTCAAACTGGGCTTTAGCGAGCACCTTGTTGTGAATAAAAGTCCCTCGCGATAGTAGTACTTGTCGTACGACTAGTCCAAGTACCTACATTCTTTGTTGCTCGAACATTGTCTCTCAATTGTCACAATATAAGTTCTAACCATACTAATAGTAATGATTATACTGCCATAACGAACAACAAAAACGCTCAAGATGTGCTTTATTACGTGGGTATTATGTGTTTGAAATAATCTTTGTTTATTGTCAAAGAAAAAAGGATTCGGAGGTAAATCAACCGTTTTTTGTTTAGACTTTAACAAATCGAGCCTACCTTTTATGAGCGTATGAGGTTACTATAAAAGCAGCAAGACCGTCAGGATCTCTTCATTCATACCTAAAATCATCAATTTAAATTGATCGCAAAATCAAGCGTAAAACTACCTGATCACTTTTGACTTAAACAATTTGAAAATGCCCACTTTCACCAGCGAATTCTATTATGGATTACTGATCGGAATTCTCCTTGGCTTCATGCGTTATTATACACTCCACAAAAATAAACTTTACGTCATGAATCAAAAAATTGATCGAATAATCAATTTAATCGAGCCTACGAAAAGGCACAATAATAAACCAAGTAACATTTAATCAAATGGCAACTGAAATCCGCGAGCTCTGCGAAGGAAAAGGCATCGCAGCCTCCACGTTGGAAGGGTTTTACAAACAAAAAACGAATCCGAGGAAAAGAACACTAGAAACTATCGAAGAATGGATGGATAAAAATAAAGAAATAGATGATAGCGACAATATTATTAACAATAGTGGTGGTAAAGAAGATAATGAAATTTAAATTTGCACCAGTGACCAAAGAATAGGTTATATTTTGAAAAGATTCCTCCATTGCTGGTATTCATAAAGGGTTTATTTTTCTCTCTAATTCAGTTGTTTTTCTTACTGTTACCTCTAATTTTAGCATAATCTTCTGGGTCATGGAGCTTATGAGCTATTCTTTTGTCTTTCATAGCAAGGTCATGTTTCATACTTGTATCCAGGAAATAAACTGACTACCAGTTCAGAATTGCAGGAGTTTTTAGTTCTTCATTTCAACTCTTTCAATGTTCTCCCAGCTCAGCTCAAGTGGTGTTAATGTTATTACCATTGCTGAACCTATAAATTTTCAGCTTGTTTCCAAGAGATTAAAAGTCTCGCACTCTTGATCTAACTATTGTTCACGTGAATCAAGTAACAACATATTTAATCGAGTTTATCTACTTGCTTATTTAACGCCGCAATTTAATGCCTTTTCATTGAATCATCATTCTTAACTACTATTTTGTCTAATACGGTTTCGAAAGCTCATTTTCCTTTTTCTTTTTGGAAAAACTCAATCAAAGAGATGCCCAGGTGACAGCGATCCACTCAAATAGTCAAGAATAAACTCCATTCGGGACGACCAAAGACATACTCTGTCGTCTATCTAGTCGTTGACATTTTATTTTAATAAATCACAAGCCAGATTCACTAATGCTTTATATTAATTATTTCTGCTATATACACGGGAAACGTTATTATATAATAATACAATAAAACGGAAGATGTTGTTTGTAGGATCAAGTCTTAAGTTTTTGGAAACATCAAAAACATGTTGTTAAGTCATCGTTGTATGACCCCTTCTTGCTATTTTTTAATTGACTACGTTCGCTATAACCGTAGGAACTGTAATGCAAAAAAAGAAAACAGATTAGAAATGTAAAAATACGGCAAAATGTTATGTACTCTTATTATAATCTTCATTACAAATTCGTTACGTCTTTCTTCATTTTTTCCTACTTACCGACAACAACAACGACGATAAAAAATCCTATCAGTCCCCAAAGAAGCCATCTCTTCTTTGTCGGATGCTTATACCAAGGTAACTCTGGTTGCCACGGATTGACACCCTCGTCGACACTACGGGTCTCATATACGGCCAATTCTAAGTCGTCAGTAATGCGAGAGTCCTTGGTTAATTTTCTTTCACCAAGAGGAATTACTGTGATAGAAACAGAGTGGTTGTGGATAAGAAAGTAGAGAATAATATATTAGTGAATGCAAAGTTGCTCAGTCAGCATTCCATACTGTGCGCGGGATCGAAATATCTTGCTTTCTACTACGTACTAGGGCGTAGTACATTTACATGTTCGTTTTTTTGAATTTCCCTTTCTATTTCGCTTGTTGAATCTTCTCTTGTCTTGGGCTCAACTGGATCAGACATTTGGCGTTTTTGTAAGTCTATTACTATTGTTTATCTTCTCTGCAAAAACTTTTGACCTTTATACACATGATTTTTCGACGGCCAATTAAATCACGTATCTCCCAGTAAATAGAATTCTAGATTGTGGAACCGTGAATAAAAGAGCATGGGCCACAAATCAGGTTGTCACAAAATCAACAAATCAAGTCACAAATCAACATCAGTGATCGTAAAAATTTAATGAACGAGAAGAGGGCATAAAGGTGAGAAGAGAAGCACTTGTGACAGCTTTAGAACAAAGAGAATTTGCGATAGAAAGATATTATATACATATATTCGGCGCTTACATGAATCAGGTAATGTGGCTGAATCGCCTATCCAGTCGATTGAGTAGAGTCTGCAGTACGCCTTAATGCAAGCAGATTCTTGACACGCAGTCATTATCGCAAGATTGGCGCATTAATGTTTATCGAATTCTTAATCGCCTTTCTACAACCACATTCTTAATCGCCTTTCTACAACCACATTCTCAATTAAACATTTTGTGTGACACTTTTTCAAATATGCATTGGTTAAAAAAAAAATGCGCGTCTACAACCGATATTTTTATTTTGAATTTTTTCCATACCAGTTTCTGAAATTCAGTTTTTGAATTTCCTTTTTCTGCTACTAGTGCAAATAGTCTTTTTATCCTAGTATTAAGAAATTTCGTCTAGGAACGAGAGAAGAAAATTTTCTCTCAAACCACGAAATTTTCATTGTCTTGTTTGCTTATTATTACATAGAATATCAAAAGAGGCAAGGGGAATGAAGCGTGGGTAATTATGGTAAAAAAAAAAAGATTATAAATTTTGAGAGTGCTTGTGGTGATGTTGCTATAGTAATTCTTAGAGTTTCTAATTTTTTTTGTATCGTATATGGAGAATGTCTATATAAAAAAGCTTTATCATTAGGTGATGAACTTGTCAGATGGAGAAATAGTTCATTCATACTGAACGTCCACTCGATAAATCATATGTGCCAACCTATTTCCATCTCCCATTCTCATCTTATTTTACATTCTCATTATTACTTTTTTCAGTCTAATGTTTCTCTTTATCATATCCCTTTCCTCTTTAACATCCTGTCGCATCAAACTCTGATCCTGCTCCCTGTTGTATCCCTTCCACTCAATGCAACACTCAACGCGGCTGTCGTTAATGCTGTCGTTGTATTTGTGTTCCACCCCAGCTGCATGGTAACCTGCTGCGTTAACAACTTGCAAAACTCATTAATCAATCCTCCTCTTAGAACTACTACCATAAATAACCAGAAAACACCGCTTACTCTCCTCGCTATGAATCTCCGAATCATATTAGAGATGTGCAGCTTTACCTTACGCTGTACGCGAAGTAAGCGGTAGAGGCTGTGTTTGGATAGGAAGGTTTCGGGGTACTTCGAAGAGATGGACATAAGTGGTGGTGACGAGTCTGAAGACGTTGTGGTGACAGCATTGGGGGAAGGTGACGAATAGAGTTCTTGTAGATAGGTATATGATGGTGATGTATGAAGGTTTATTGGCGTTGATGTTGATATGTGAGTAAAATTACTTGAATGTGAATTGTGTCCAGGTGTGTGTTGTCCTTCAGATTGTTGGTGGTGACTACCATTCCCATATGCAGCAAGTCCATTATGTTTCCCAGTAAAGTTCTTTAATCCCGTATCACTTCTCTGCGGTTGTGGCATATGCAATCCTGCATGAAATGCATGTCCTCCTCTGCCAGCGTCCGAAGGTGTCATTTTCAACCATGATGGAATCCCAACATGCTCGACACCCGGCGATGCCGGCCGGCTGACATATGGTGTACTCGGCTGATTATGAAACGGACTTCCTGGTCGACTGCAATATGGTGTAACCGAACGGGATGGTATCGGAGTCGCACGCGCCGAGAAGAAAACTTCGTGAAGAGAATCAAATGATGAGACACGAGATATGGAACGAGGATATGGAACTGGGAACGAAAGGATTGGTGGTGGATTGCCGTATTTATTAAAGACTGCGTTAGTCGACAAAGAATATTCAGTCGTGTCTTTGCCACCGTGTTCTAGGGAAATTTATAAGAAATTAGGGTCAGAATCGAAACCGTAACGATGCTACTAGGAAATCATTGAAAATAATCAAATCAGGAATCAACCACGCAATACATTACCAACACGAATTTTATCTTCGTCAAAATACTCAAGCAGTTCCTCTTGCGTGGGGAAGAAGATCCGACTAAGGGACTCTTCCGGAAGTAGACGTTTTACCAGTCGCCACATGGTCGCATACGTCCAACCATAATTTAACACAAAAACTGAGACAGAAAGATTTGTTAGCCTGAAAATTGATTAAATAATTGTGATTGAAGGAAAACAAAGACTTGTAACCTACTTGCAGAAATTGAACTGGGGTATTGGTTTTTTGCCAAATCCATCATGAATGGACCGAGTTCAAAGTCCTAGAAAAGGATTTATTGTAAAAAAAAATATTCAATTGATTGGCTCTCTGTACCCTGTTTTTCGAGCAAAAAAAATTGCTACATGCTGTTCCTTGTATTATTGTACCAACAACATTTAAACTGTGATTTCTGTTTCCAACATCGACCTGACCTCAACCCAACCCAACCCAACCCAACCCATAGATCATAACGATCACGATCACAATCCTTATTATTATACGTACCAAATTCGAAAAGGTGGCCTCGTTCAGATCGACAAGCACACCATATTGCAATATGGGCTCTTTTCCCTCTCTCAATGCTTCTTTACATAAATCCCACATGCATCTTCTCGCAATCTCGCAATTGAATATGATGTACTTCTTCATGTCTTCTATAGTGGGTGACCCTGGATCACGGTTGTACATTCGAAGATTGAATATAGCACACGGACGATTCCAGATGTCTCCGGAGTGGAAGTAGAAAAGCCCTGATTCCAAGTATTGCGGATGAATGTCGGATAGAGAAAGAGTGTCTATGTTGTTGGCAATACGCCAGCGAATGTTTTCGAGAAGATAGGAAAGAGCGACATCAAGGTCATAGGAAGAACGACGGAAAAAGCGGAAAAGAGTTCCTGAAAATGAGATAGTCAAGCATTAGAATGGTGTGATCTGTCTTTGGATTGGTAATTAGATAAAGTCGCCTTTTAGAATGCTGTCCGATATAGAGACATTGATTGATTTCTAATTTTCCGTTTCTTTTCTTTTCTTTTCTTTTTTTTTTTTTTTCTTTTTTTTTTTTTCATTCAACATCTTGTTACCGGTTGTTGCATCCATACTCTCACTCTACGGCTATTTCCCTACCTCTGTCCTCCATGTAATTCCTCAAACGCTCGACTTGGATAAAATCCAAGTTGAACTCTTCCTTAAGCTGTGGCAATTGTTCAACAAGTGCGTCTTGTAAATCGTCAATAGATGGTTCATATTGCTTGTATAATGCATTTAATCGCTTATACTTTTCATGCAATATGTTCATTATGTGAGTATATCGAAAGTAAGTATATATAAGAAGTGTACAGGATGTATAAAAATTAAGAATGGGGAGAGAAAGAAATGTGAGCAGATATTTGCAAAAAGTAATTTGTGGTCAGAGTAGGAAGAGACAAAGGTGGGCGGTGCGTGACAAAGTGATGTTTATATTGAGTGATAGGAAGTAGGGTGATAGCAAATATTAAAGTAGGGTGCACATATAAATATATATATCAGTTGCAATATTAGTAATAAATACGACATCATCGTGATGATATATGTAAGATGTTTTACAAAGTAGCCATAATAGAAACAGAAAATAGAATAATGTCAATATATTTATATATTAGTGTCACTGTAAATTCAGCAGCTTTTGCAGTTATAGCACATAGCTTTCACAGGCAAGGAGCTGTCAAACGTCTACTGCTTTTCAGCTAGCTACTCATTCCCATATCCATTCCATTCAGAATTTTTTTTTTCCTCGCGATGAACAGGATTAGTAGAAGCTATTATCAAATGACAGTGATCTGCATTTGGCATGGCTCCGTTATTTTTTGGGCTCCGCTGCCAGGGTGGTCACTATGCCTTATAGGCAATGTGAGCTGGTATCTAATCAATAAATGGCAAAGGCAATGATGTGTTGTGTTGAATATCAAATACAATAATGTATTAAGTTCGTATCAAGATTGATTTTAACTTATCAATTATATTAAATGTGGGTTTAGATTTGATATCGATATGATAACGCAATACGAATAAGCCAGGGAGATGTACTTGACAAATAAGTAAATAATAATTACTTACTTATTACTTATTAATTATCTATTATTAATCCTATAAGCGATGTCCGTAAATGCAAGGCTAATTTTTCGCTCTCCGGTTGCCTGAACATAAACGGACCCTGCGACATCTTGGCTAGTTCGGCTCACCATTTTACATGGGAAGTACTGGAAAAACGCCGATTAGATCAGCATACTCATGTGATAATAATAAAAGAGTTTTTCGATGTGACACCTCAACAATTCCCTTGATAGTTGTTATTATGTTTGAACATTCTTGTAGGTCATTCTAGGAAAGTGATGTGTGTATGATACATTTGGTAACGTTGGCTTAAATCCCTTATCAGCACTGCTTGGACATAACAAGCCAAGAAAAAAGAACTTTTTACAACTGCCGTGATTGTACAACCGGACCTTTATTACATTATTAACATGATCGATGCATTGTCAGGGTGGCATGGCAAGTGTAACGTATGGGCAAAACTAAGGCCATATAATTAATGATGAGTACACCTTTAGCGTTCAATCGTAGGTGTAAACAAATAAAGAACGCAAAATTCCATATAATTAATGACGAGTTGTTTTTGATAAGTGAGCCTCGCCTCATTGAGCTTCAATGCCAGCATTGTGTAGGCGTTTCAACAATGCAAGAACACGGTTCATTAGAACAGATGACATTCGAATGGGACTAGAGAAAAAAATTTTTTTTTTCCAAGTTAACCAAGCCACTTGTGTATTATAAAGTTGGTGTGTTACCTGTTATTATGCAATACCGTTGAAATACTTTCGGGTTTTATCGAGTTTTTGCTTTGCTTAGGCAACAATGACCAATCGACATGTCCTCCTACTCCTACTACAATCTCCAATTGTCTAATATTATCCAGGGTTCAACAGTCTCATGTAGTGCCTACGTCGGGTCCTTCTGTCCAACATGCCTTTTTTTTTCATGATAAATCGAAATGCTGTTTTCAAATGCCTTGGAAATAACCATCATTCCTTATTAAAACTCTAATGTTAATATAGATGTGGGGAGAATGATTATCGTATATTTCGCCACACGTAAGTTCGTTATTCCATATGCAGAATATGGTAAGACTATATCAATATCAATGAATCACATCTTATCTGCGACTCTAACCAAATTTAATGTGGTCAACAGCATATTTACGCGCCACTGACGACATGTATTTCAAATTTGGTTCGACTTTTTCCTAATATTGGTTTAAGTGTGCCATCATCATAAAAGCCATTATATGATGTTACTGTCTTTAATACTGATATATGTACTTGGGGCTCGGGCTTTCAATGACCCGCGCCGATTTACCAAGACATTACTATTAATGTATAATGACCCCATGATTGATATATCAATTTCTGGTTAATTATAATGGCAGCTATTATTAATATTAATATTTGTGTACCGAAAAATTCTCTTCATATGACTATACCCATGCGGCGCTGTATTTATTTGAATGCTAACCTCCCGCATTGTAGTAGGTATGACATACAGCTTGCATGCTTTCAGGTTACGGAGTCATGTGCTGAAACACAACATTCTGTAACGTTGCACCCTTCGATGACGGAAATGATTATCACCTGTAATCTCTGATTGAACAACATCGTTATACGAATTAATCCCAGCACAGAGAATTGTATGTATAGGTTCATTTGTAAAACCGAAACTGTTGGTCTTTCAACTCCGAGGCCATGCATCGTATACCTAATGCTAACCCTGGGTACAGCAATAAAGATTCCTGCCCGTTGATATTAGCATTTGTGAGAGTATAAACCGCCCCGCGATTATCTCTGTACGATATTTATTTTTGGTAATGATCACCTGAAAGGATCTTATTTGAGTTATAATCGCCCATCATTGATAATTTTGATTTTTTTTTTGTTATCAGCAGGCTTATCTGATGTACATTATACATAGATGGATGCATCAACTCTCCTTACGAGAGAGGGAAGCTCAATGAATATAATTCACACCATACTGAACAGCTAAACATAAGCAATGAGATTGGTATAAACACATGTGCCGCATGAGGTTCGCATCCCAAAGACATTCTGTACGAGAAACTAGTATTTTCTAATCGTTACATTTTGGTTCTCATAATAACCGTCTAAAGCAGTTAGTGACACACATGTATGGTTAATGATGACGAGACGATCGAATGTAGTTACATATGACAAAGAAAGAAACCGTAGGCATCCGTGCGGGTAGAATTATCATGGCTAGTTAACAACTATGATCCATGAGACACGAAGTACTGAATTGGCTGTCCATACTCTGGTGCATATGAATGTGCACTAGGTGCCAAAATAGTATCCATGATCTGATCGAGGATGGGGCATGTGTTACTTTCATTTGGTATATCAAAGTGTTTTCTCTCTTGATTTAATATAATTACTATTATTATTATATCAAATCCACTCGGCGTAACATAGCTTTGGTTCCCAAAAACGTGATTGGATGTCAACTAGCAAATAACATATGCGTCGCAGATTATCTTCACCCTTCAATTGCGTTCGTTGGAGGATCAGGTGATGTTACGTTTGCGTGAAAGCATGTTACAGTACATTCGCGTTATTAGTCAACATGTTGGATTCAGGTCTGTGTCAGCATTCAAATCATTATGAGATCGCGTTTGCGCTATCAGTTAAGCCATTCATAATTTTGGATCTCTTCATACAAGACAACAAAAAAATTATTTCAAGGCTTTATACGAAGATACGGGGGTGGTTGAAAGTTCGATGTTAGTTGTTGAGTAGTATCCATTTTTTCATGGTACACTAAAACGATTGGGAAAAAAACGATTTAAACATAAATTCATTTCTCCATAGTCTTCTATGCAATTCTTGCAATCTAAACGATTTGCACAAGTTGTGACCATTGCCATAAATAAAAAACACGTGATTGAATTTTGCGGACGATCATTTCAACTATGGTAACGATTACATTCCGATCTAATACCACGAATAGGCCCTGTAGTTCAGTGAGGGCTTTGCTGAGTCTTGTATGAACTTGTCGGTATAAGCAGTACAATCTATTCGGGTAAACGAAAATTTATCAGTATAACAAATATCGGTATAACTGTAATAAAGATTGTTTGAAAACAACGAAAGGGTGGGGGGAAAGATCATGCGAAATGTATGGAGATAGGAATTTATAAGATTATATCCATAATGTTATAATGCATATGAAGGGTTTGTTATACGGCGTGTTCAGAGAAATTATCAATGTCGTTCCTAAATTCTATGACGAATTGGAAATTTTCATTCTTTCTAACCCATGGTTATTCTCCAATTGCTTTAGGGTACCGTCGACAAATGTACATATTCGACAAATTACCAGGTCAATTTATTTTTCAGCTGTCCGTTAGAACCTCAGGCTTGTAACTATAGTCTTTGTTTTTAAATATGTTAGGCAGTTGTTGAGATAAATGTCCACGATCAGAACTTTCTAACCATCCACATGACTCATTATACAGCTTACGTATAAATATATCCTATATGCAAAACCATTCTTTATTTATTAATAAAGTTTCTAATAAAGAGAACTTATTGCCAGATTTGCAAATTTTGCCTATTAAAACATATGAAATTCGATATTCTCAAAGTCTACAGTTTAAATTAATAAGATGAATATGAAGCCATAACACGCTTAATAGCAAAAAAGCCAATTCTCGAGAAAAACGATCGAAGCGCTTAAAAATGGGTACATAAAGAAAGGAGGAGTGAAGCTGAATATTTCAATAATATCACCAATAAATATGTAGCATAGTTTACTAGAGTGACCTAGGGTACTCATCAATGGCTTTGGGTCCGAGTATTTCCTCCCTGCAATCGCTCTAGTGAATATGCAAATGTACTGTACATACTTTGTTTAAAAGAGTAATAAAGAGAATTGATGCCTGATTTTACTTATTTTTGCAATTCACATTCGAATTCCTAAAGAAAGCACAATTTCAGTCATTGCACCTAACGTACAACCCACAATAGACAGCAGAGTTCTCAATAACGAGTTATATACACCCTCCCCCTACAATAAATTACCGAATTTCACGAAATTTTACTAATAAAACTCTTTCTTTTCAAAAATCTCTCCTGCCCATCCATGTATGCTATGCAAATGACGATAGCTCTTGTATGGTTTTGAAGCTAATTGATTGTGCTTTTTGAAAAAATAGCAATTTATTTGATATATCTTGTATAGCTGTAGCTCGAT